TCAAATTTGAATGAAAACTCTAACATTTTTAGGCATTCAAATTTGAATGAAATGTCGACAGGAATGTTCCTTTAAATGTTGAGAGACTGAGCTGTATTGATTCATATGAAATGTAAGTCTCCTTGAAAGCGTCGTCGTCGTAAAACCAACCAATATATATTTACGTTTGGGCACCTCGATGGTGTAATATTTAGCAAGCTCGCTAGAACAATTGCGAATGAGTAGTGAGTTCGATCCTCACTGGGTGCCCCATATTTTCGACCTTGTGCCACAACTGAGCTACGCTTGGAAAATCACTATATATTTACATTTTTGTCAGAGATACAATCTTCCAAAGGACATTTAAATTGATATACGATGTTGGTCTTTTGCAAAAAGCTAGTTGACAGAGTTATTACGTGTGATTAAGTTGATTTTATTAAATTTAGTGTAGTATATAATTAGTTTTATTTTCTACTGAAATAATTATATATATATATATATATATATATATATATATATATATATTTTAAGTTATGAAGAACTTGGTAATCCGTATGGGTAATCCCATGGAGGATGAAATCCTGAGAGCTCAATGTAAATCCAGAGCTAATATTTAAAAAAAAAAACAGACCACTTTAAGGTACCATTATAATAATTTATTTCACCAGAGTCCTTTTAAAGGACGCCGGATCATCAGCTAGCACTTCCAATATATATATATATATATATATATATATATATATGTAATTTATATATACATATAAGCTATAACTTCGTGCAAACGTTTTCCGCCAATATAAAATAGAAAGATTATATTGAATCAATTGCTTGTTCTGCTACTAGGAATGTTGAGTCACTGTGTCATGCTAGACAATCTTTCTCGGTAGAATATTGCACATTTATTTGTCGATCATTTGTTCATGCATTGAATATTGCTGTCACATCTGGTCTGATGCTTTTCTTAAGTATTTAGACATTCTTGATAAAATCCAAAGGAGAATCTGCAATGTTATTGTTCTTGAACTGGCATCTCGGCTTCATTCACCGGCGTTACATAGTTTCCCTGTATCTTTTTTTTTTATATAAATATTTTCCTCGTGATATTTCTTCATTATTCCTTGGACTTTACGAATTTATGCGCAGTGCTAGATTGGCAGCTAGGTCTCATCAATTTGTGGTTGAATTTGCTAGATCTTTTCTATGCTAACAGTTTTTTTTCTCGCTTGAGGAATCTCTCTCTTGCATTTAATTTTGATCTTCAAAAACGTAAATGCAATGTCAATCGTTATCTTATGTCTTCTTAATCCTTGTTCATTTATTGTTCCCCCTTCTTAATAATGGTTTCTTTTTCTCACGTTCTTTTACACTCAGTAGCTGCTTGCGCCGTAGGGGCTTTATTAAATTTCTCGGGCTGATGCACTTTAAAAAATTCGATAGAATAACCAAACATGGGAATATTTTGGAAATGCCTTCTGGTCATACATTAGATAAAAATTCTCCACTCCCTTTCTCTCCTTCCATCTCTTCCTTCTCTCTCCCTACCTCCTTTTACTCCCTCTCTCCCTTCTTCCCTTTCCCCTCTCTCTTCCCTTCTCCCTCTCCCTTCCATTCGCCCCTCTCTCTCTCCCTCTCCTCTCTCTCCCTCCCCTCTCTCTCCCTCCCCTCTCTCTCTCTATCTCCATTTTAAAATCAAGCTTAACATTTAATGAAAACTTCTGCAAGTAGGCACCAAACAGTTCACTATTTTTATAATCCCAGAAATATATACGTACAACCTGATGGTGTAGCTATGAGATCTCCACAAGGACCTAGCATTGTAACTAAAATTTTCAACACATCAGATAAAGACTCTATGTATGTCCTATACATCGATGTCGTATTTCTTCTTGCGAAAGATATTGAACAAAAACCATCAATGGAATCCGAACATTTAAAAGTATTTATATATATATATATATATATATATATATATATATATATATGAACTCTTCATCAATAAAAAAAAATCATTTTTTATACCCTTGTTGATTTTAATGACGAGGACTTCATTAATTCAGCATAGAAATATCTACCAATATTAACGTCTGTCTTTCTTTTTTTTAACTATCAAAGCGGACGCCCTTAGCGATACAAGATAACAGTCATAAATAAAATCTTATGAACCGTGTTAAATTAATCTCTTCCTTTAAAACAATTTTCTATACGAAATTATCTCATATTAAACAAACAATTATTAATAATGGCTTTCCTAATCACATCGTTGATAAACAAAATTATTTTTCAGACTATTAATCATAAAGGTATATATAATAAATCCGATTTAAACCTCCACAAAATACCATTAACTTATTTTACTGTAACCAGATGCACTTTCAATAAAAGATTAGAAAGCAATGGAAAATATAATCCAAAGATATATAACTCCCACAGAAAGTAATATCCACCTAAGCGTCATCAAATACTACAAATTTTAAACTGTTGTTATTTTTAACAAAGACATCGTTTGCAAATAACCAAT